TGTGCCTTAGCATAGCTTCTAGGAGGATCTGTTCCATATCTTCCCAGGCACAGAGGTGACACTGACAGGTCGGTAATTCTTGGGGTCTTCCTTTCTACCCTTTTTGAAACTGGGCACAATGTTTCCCTTCTTCCAGGGAAGAGGAAGGGCCATGTGCCTGTCTCTTTAGATTTCTCTGAAGCAGTAAAGTGTGTTTTGACTTGGGAGAGGAGTATAGAGCATGCTGATAGAGTACTGAAGTGTAAAGATAAGTTTTACTACTTTCTGTAAAATTCCCAAGATTGAGATTATAAGAAAACAGAATTTGCCTAAAGTAAAAATAGGCTCAACACATTTTGGGGTCATTACTCGAATGCCCTTCCTGCTGTGACACTGTCAGGTATTCAAGGAAATCCACCTTAATATTTTAATTTCTAATACATTGGGCATTTATGCAATGAGGCAAGATCCTAGACTGGTGATCCTAATTATTTTAGCTTTTTACTGATGTGCAGAGGGAAAATACAGTGTTTGCTGCCTTACTCTCATTAAAGGTATAAACGCTAGAGGTCTCAAGGAGTGAAAACCTGTTCATTCCTTCTCCATGTATAGACTTGCTTCTACAGCCTTTTTGGCTTCTGTGAAGCTCTGTGCTTTTTTTTTGCTTTTTTTTTTTCTTTCTTTTTTCTTTTTTGCTTTTTTTTTTTTTTTTTTTTTTTTTTTTTTTTTTTTTTTTTTTTTTTTCTTTTTTTAGGACAACAGCTACTCTGGAACATCTTCTACTGCAGACATGTTTGTAGTTTGTCACAGGAGGGAATGGGATGCAGGTCCAGAGTACAACGCTGTCTTGTCCACTCTTACTTTTTATCTTTCTTTCTTCCTGCTGTGGTTGCCTCCTTTTTGCACTTGATTTCTTTTGGAGAAAATTAAGGTGGACTGTTCTGACAGCTTGTGTAGTGTGTCAGAGGTGGGGATGGGGAATTAAAGTCAGTGGTCCATCTGGGAGGGCGGAGATGGATAACTCCTTGGCTTGCAGGACTGCTGAGGGCTGGGGGAGAACCTGTAGGCTTCTTGCAAAGTGGATAAAATAGTGTGGGGAGGGGTATTTGTATTGATTTGATTTTGGCTTTGAATTGATTAAATTATGTTTTCACTGCAATCTCTCCCTCTTTGGGGAAAGAAGAAATGAACAGCATATCTGCCAAAGAGAGCACTGCAGCATAGGGGACCTACTAATTGCTTAAGGTTGCTCAGAGACACCCATGCCCTGCATCTTTTTAATAAAACCTACCTGCTGTTTTAACCTCCGGTTGACTGGCTTGCGTGGAGCTGCGATGACCGTCTCCACATCCAAGTGTCCATAACAGTGACTCTCCGGAGTCAAACTCAAAAAGCTCCCCAGTGCAAACCGACACGTAAGAGCCAGCGAACGCTTGACAGGACTTTGTGGACCTTTGGGCAGAGATTTCTATGCGGAATGGTTT